GTTGGCCAGGATGGTCTCGATTTCCTGACCTCGTGATCCGCCTGCCTCGGCCTCCCAAAGTGCTGGGATTACAGGCATGAGCCACCGCACCTGGCCTGTGGTATCTTTGCTTTTAAAATGGGGTAATGTTTGACCCGCTGCACAGGACTGCTGTGAAAGTCAAGTAAAATCACACATTTAAACTATTTAGCTTAATAATGTACACAGTTAAGTGCTTAATAAACAGTAACTAATACTATTAGTATATTATTAGTCAAGTCATTATACAACGAAATTCATTTGAGACGGGAGTATATTTCTTACCATCTACAGAACCAAACTCCCTTTCATGTGCACGAGTGAGAATCTCTTTGTACAGTGTTTCTGCTTGCTTGAACTTTCCTTGTTTCAGATAGCAGGATGCCTTAAAATAAAATAAAATATTTCTTATCTTTCAGATGTAAATAAAGCATAATTTTAATCTACAGTTAAAGAAGTATTTGGGCTTGGGAAGAAAGCACTCCTGGCCACCTCCCTAATGCTATGCCAGTCAACACACCAGGTTATTTTTTGTCTTAGCCACGTTGGGGTCATCAGGTCCCAGTTTTGTCTGGTAGATCTCGAGGGCTCTTTGATAATAATATTCTACTTCTTCATACTTGCCCTGGTTCTGGCACAGTAAGGCCAAGTTATTTAATTGCTTGGCAACATCGGGGTGATCCTTCCCCAAAACCTGGGAATAAAAAACAGTATATTAGAGACACTTGTTCTGCTCCCATCCAATCCATTCTCCACCCTACTGTCACATTATGATCTTCCTCAACATAAGCACGATTGTGCTACACTTTCAGATTTAAATCCTTAACTGGCTCCCCACACCATGTAATAACAAAATAACCAGAATTTATCAAATTCTTATTTATGAGGGGAGGGAGGGAACTGTGTTCATTTTCTTTAGCTGCATTAATTATTGCAGTAATCCTTCATGGTAGGTACATTTTATGTACATTTATTGTACTATGTACAAATGTACATATTAGGCACATTTTGAAGATAAGGAAAATGGGCTTTGTAAGGGCTATGTGAGTTTTACTGCCAGGTTCTGGAGGAGCCCACAGCTGTCCCAGTTGCCCAGGACGCTCTTCTCCTAGCCCTCCCCACTAGCAATGACTTATCCTTCAGGGTTCTCTTCAGTTCCCCTCAAAGGGGACCTCCCTATACCAAATTAAGGGAGCCCTCACCCCACCTCACCTAGTGAACTCGCAGGCATATCACCTGGTTGTTCTTTCTTTGTAAGAACACTCTGAACTACTTGAACTACCTTGAATATTCTTTATTACAATGTAAGCCCCAAGAGTGCAAATTCTTTGTCTCTTTTCTTCACCAGTGTAATCCCTGCATCTAAAAAGGGGCCTGGCACACAGATGGATAAATGAACACTAACCTCCTCCTTCAGTACCTTGAACAAGTGATGAGTTCTCTCTGCTTTGTGCCTTTACACATGTGGTCCGCAGGGAGGTAAGCTGCCTCTCTACTCCTTTCTGCATTCCCTACCTCTCCCTGCCTAGGACATTTTTAACTCAATTATTCAAGGTGCAGTTCCAACACCAACCTTCCCTGAGAAACCATCCCCAACATCCCCTGGCTGTGGCCCGCAGGAACCCGCACTCCATGTCTTCCCAGAGCTCTCTATTCTAGACGCTGCTGTGCCCTCTGCGGTCCTCAGTCTGCCCAGTGGACTGTGTCCTAGTGGGAGGGACTACATCTCTGATCTGTAAATCACCAACTCTAAGCAGGGGGCTCGAAATGAATGAAAGGGTAAATATATGAATGAATTTGGCAGGTCATCTTATATGGTTCCTAATTCTTGATTTAGTACTTTTGTGCTGTCCCTGACTTTAACTCCAGCCCACCCCAAATTCGACCATTCTATTTCAGAAACATGCAGATTGAGGGCTTAATGTTACCTGTATAATCTGATAAGGAGCCCCTTTTCATTCTTTCTCCCCCAATTCCTTGCCATGTGGCCCAAAATTAACTGATAAGAATCACTGATAAATAATCACTAAAAATACCAAGTTAAAATACCATTTGTGTGGCTAGGCGCAGTGGCTCATGCCTATAATCCCAGCACTGTGGGAGGCTGAAGCAGACGGATCACCTGAGGTCAGGAGTTTGAGTTCAGCCTGGCCAACATAGTGAAAGCCCATCTCTACTAAAAAATACAAAAATTAGCCAGGCGTGGTGGCACATGCCTGCAATCCCAGCTACCCAGGAGGCTGAGGCAGGAGAATCCCCAGAATCCGGGCGGCGGAGGCTGCAGTGAGCCGAGATTGTGCCCCTATACTCCAGCCTGGGCGACAGAGCAAGACTCCGTCTCAGAGAAAAAAAAAAAAACAATTTGTGGTTACTCATCAGACAGACCTGATACCTCAATCTCTGTAACATCTGAAGAGACTGTCATACAGAGCACTGCTGAAATGAACAAGTTACGTTATATTTTTTCAATACCTAATTACCATAAACTGTAGCAGCTGGTATTAAATATACATGACATTGACTCAATCTATAGCTCTGAGTTAATCTTTAGTTATAATAATAATTATTTCATTTTTCAGCTTCATAAAGCGTATTTGGTAAATGTTATCTTTTTTTTTTTTTTTTTTGGAGACGGAGTCTCGCTCTCTCCCCCAGACTGGAGTGCAGTGGCGCGATCTCGGCTCACTGCAAGCTCCGCCTCCCGGGTTCACGCCATTCTCCTGCCTCAGCCTCCTGACTAGCTGGGACTACAGGCGCCTGCCACAGCGCCTGGCTAATTTTTTGTATTTTTAGTAGAGACGGGGTTTCACCGTGGTCTCGATCTCCTGACCTTGTGATCCGCCCGCCTTGGCCTCCCAAAGTGCTGGGATTACAGGTGTAAGTCACCGCGCCCGGCGGTAAATTTATCTTTAAACTATCATGGTTTTCTTAAAGACAAGCACATGTTCCACTGTCAAATGCAATGCTCCCAGGCTTTCCATCTCTAGTCCTTAGACATGTCTTCAATCAGAGTCACTTCTAGGCCACCTTGGACAGCACCAGACTCAGGACTGCACCTTTCTAAATGCACACGTTTCATAACTGGACCTTCTTTTCTTGTTTTTTTTCCTTTAGAGACGAGGTCTCACTATGTTACCCAAGCTGATCTTGAACTTTCTAGGCTCAAGTGATCCCCCCACTTTGGCCTCCCAAAGTGCTGGGATTACAGGCATGAGCCACGCTGATTTGTACGGGCCAATCTGGCTTTTTGTGGGCTATTCGCTAATTAAATGAGTTGTTTCCAGCTACCAGTCAGTTAAAAACACATCACAGTGGTTATTTCTCAAAACCTAAAACTGAAAAATTTTTAAAAACACAAAAAACAGGGCTGGGCATAGTGGCTCATGCCTGTAATCCTAGCACTTTGGGAGGCTGAAGTGGGCAGATCAGGAGGTCAAGAGATCGAGAACATCCTGGCCAACATGGTGAAACCCCATCTCTACTACAAATACAAAAATTAGCTGGGCGTGGTGCTGCATGCCTGTAGTCCCAGCTACTTGGAAGACT